AGCCCCCTTTCAGCTTTGCCGAAATGATAAACAACCATGTATGTATGTTGATATGTATATATGTATATGTATATATACATACATATAACTATATATGTGTGGGCACAGTTTTTCTACACATAAGTTGCTGCATAATTAGGTGGATATGTAGAAGTGCAGATTCAACTACATGTGCATACCCGTGGGCATATATATATATATACATATACATGCACACACCTACCTATACATGTAGATGTATTCACACAGTCGTGCATACCTACAAACATACACAGTTCGACATACATGCATGCATGCATACATACGTCCATATGCACAGATTTCGCCACGGATCGCTGGCTTGCTGCAGCGGCTCGAGTTTGATTTTCAGTGGTCGTTGTAGCACTTGGCTCTCTGCCAGCTATCATGGAGGCCGGTGGCGGGTGGGTCGGCTCTATGCCTATAGATGTAAACCCTAAACTGCCGGAGTCGAGGATTGGTTGCACGACCCCACAGAGATGATGCTGACCGCTTCCAGATTTTACTATTACAGTTGCATGCATCTATACGGCCAAAACCTCAGCTAACGTCTCATCATCACTTCATCCAGCCCTGGGCCGTTGGCCCGAGACAGCCTCTACAGTACACCTATATACACATGGCGGCCTCAACCCTTACCCGATTGAGAGTCCCCTCAACTCGGCTCGCGTTTTCAGGGTTCAGGGAGTAGTGAGTAGTGGGAACTCAAGAACCATGAGCATTCCTCACAGTCTCAAGGTTCGGACGTAGTCGAGCTCAAATTTGTTTAACTGCTGAAAAGATTATTAAAAACTTATCGTTCCTGCTTCGTCAGTATGGCCAGCGAAGTGCAGCAATTCCGGGCATCGCTCAATCGCAGCACCATCACAATCACAAGCAGTTTTTTGGGACACAGTCGTTGAATTTGGCAGAGGACTTTCACAGCAAAGGCGGATCGAGGGCCCGCCCAGGAACAGTTGCTGAATTAAAGCCAAATAGGTTTGTGTTGGCGCGGTGGACCCCACCCCCCTTGTCTTTCTCAGGTCGGGGCTTCTGCCAGTTTCGATAAACAACTGACTCCAGTGGTAAGTTGCCCTTCTACAAAGCTGCTGCAGATGAGTCTGCGCGCAACAACACACAGGTCCCGACACTCCGTCTTCGACCTACTAGCAGACCTTCTTCACATTTCTTTGCAAACAGACGCACTGGCCGAGTTTCCGACCAGCAGGCCCCACGTCGGCCTGGTTTGATTTCATTTATTTTGAAAGCGAACAATCCAACGAGCCGTGGAGAAGAAGCCAAAGTCAACCGCTAGACACTCGACAAACATCAAGCAGACTGCATTCATCGGTCGCCGGGGCAGAATTGAGTCTTTTAGAACAGTATGCACCCACACATCCGACACGGTTCAATCATACGACTGCAGCCGGCTTCGCGAGTCGACTCGTTGCCTAGCAACCAACTGCAGCTGCTGCGGTCGGTTACGCAGAGCTGTTCCCGAGACACTGCAATGTCTTTACGGAGCACGTACACCTCATAGTACCTGTACAGATAAGGAGTTCTTGCGCCAAGTACAGGAGGATTGCACCAACAAAGGTATGCTACGAGCTGGATATGTGGAGCTTCGAGACTGATGAGCACCTACAAATGTCGACAATGTTTGACGCCAGGACGTGGAGACCAGCTATGCGGCCCTGTCCCGCGACTCCCTGAAGGCTCGGGGAAAGGAAACCAGCAAGGGGATTGCTGCTGTCTGGTGTTCGTCACAAATGCCGAAGGCCATTTTCAAGATTGCCCGCCGCCAGAACAGGCCGCATCTATGGAGCATGGCCTGCAGACGACGGCTGTCTACTGGGAAGGTGCCCTAGGGTGCTGAAGTCCTTGAAACATTATGCCCGAATCCAAGCCATGAAAAGGACAGTCTCGTGAAATGCCTGTACAGGGACGGCACAGGTACCAACCTAGAATTGACACGGATGTCGAACCGAATCCCGAAATTCGAAGCTGGCATCGCACACACATTCAAAGCGCCGCTGACTCTTGACCTCAAAGCCTCGTTTCCGAACGCCCTGACGCGATATGCCAAATCCTGGAGGTCAGATGAACTCCTTCCGCGGAGTCTTTGGGCAGGCAGCCGGTGATGCAAATAGTTAGAAGCCAACTTCACCCCCTTGAGGTTGCATCGCATACTCAGCTAGTTACATACCCCCAAGCCAAGCCAGAGGCTCCGATTTCGAAGACCCCAAGCCATGAACCCCGACCCCAACACTGTTTGAGACTCCAGACCCCCTACCTGTTGAGGCCACCTATGGCCAGAAATGGACTTGGAAGTTGGTCGATGATCGCATCCGATCGCAGTGGGGCTGGGCGCCCGGTTCAGACTGCAAGGACTAAGGCTGTAGTGGCAGATAAAACTGTTAGTTGGAGCTTGGAATGATGTAATTCAGTGTTTTCGGCTTATGGGCTGGGGCTGGATTCGAATTTGAGATTTCAGGCTTTAGCCTCGATGCCGCGGCGTTTCGGTGTAGAGTTTTTCGTCAAGGGCTGAAGAATAAAATGCTTTTGCTCCGGTTGGCAGGAAGGGCTTTTCGTTCAGGGACCGTGAGTCCAGAGAATGGCAGACTTCTTGGGCCTAGGGCCGAGCCCTATGCAAGTGCTCAAGCTTCCATTCCCAGGAGGCATCCTGCTCCGAGGTTTGGATTCCTGCGATGTGGCTAAAGATCCTGAGGTCTTCTACGGCGTCCCGCCTGCCTGTTTCCGAGTTTTCGCTCGAGTGCTTAGGAATCAAGGTTGATTCCAACTGGGATCGGTTATCAGTTTTCTTTGCTTCAACCGTGCAGGGTGCTGCTTCCTTTTGAATCCTCCATCAAGCGTGCAAAAGACATCGAACTTGGCTGAGAAGCCCAAAGCACAGCGGCCCTGGGACCCGGCAGATGTCAAGCTCCAAGTGGCAGGACCGCGGCTATTTCCGCAAGTATTATGGCGACAAGGATGTCTACGAGATTGAGTGGGCAGCTCAAGGTTACTGTTGTGGGTCTGGCTCCGAGGATCTGGTCTGCAGCGTTGGTTTTAGGATCTGTAGGATTGGGGGCATAGAGCCAGTGACTGAAAGGCACGGCCTGGCCTGACAACTGCTCGATCTATATCGCTGGAGTGTTGCAGAGACTCTTGACGAGAGTTCGCAGGCCCACCATGAAGAAATTCAACTTCAGCTTCTTCCCCACCGGGACCGCAGATCTTTTCAACAGGACCGATTTGGCTTGCAATCACGAAACCCTCAAATACCAGGAAGAGATCTTGTTTGGTGGCGTCTAGGGCTTCAGGTGTGGATTCTATTTGCCTGGTTTGGGCGGCCTGGTTTGGGGTCTTGTTTGTAAAAAGTGGTTGTACTCGCGCGGTGAGATGTCATCCCAGGTCTGAGGGCAGAGGTGACAAACATACTTCCTTGCAGATCAGATCCCGAACGAGGCGTGCCCTCCAGGGCCAGATAGATTGTTCTTCCAAAGTAATTTCCGGCTGCATATGTGAAGGTGTAGGGTGCTCCGTATGTGCATACGCCGGATTCTGGTGTGTTATTCATGTTGCATGAAGGTCACTCCTTAAAAGATGAAGCGAATTTCGGCCGCAAGCTGAATCACTGAAGCCTGTACACCCTACTCTTTTGAAGGTCATCCATGCGAAACCCAGACCCTGAACCCCAACGGTTCTCCCGAAAAACCTGTGCTCAGGAAGGCGGCTGGCGCCTCACGCTCCGACGTCATCGAAGCGGTCATGCGCAGCGCAGCCACTGTCTCAGCTTTGAATGGGGACGCAACAGAGAGCATAAAACGCACAGACGGTCCGCTCGTCAATCCAGGCCAACATAGGCCAACTGGAAGCGGCGGCTCTAGGACCCTAGGACACTGCAGCAATGACAGACTTTCCGCCGTTGTCGAAGTAGGAGGCAGCAGACGAAGAAGCAGAGAAAACGTGGTGGGGCTTCCAGAACCCTAAAACGTCCAATTCTTGCTGTGAGAAGCAGCAAGCAACCGACAAGTGCCGGACACGCAAACCCAAGTCGAGTGCAACTGCAGAAGCTCACAGATGGCCGTGAGAGACCGGACTGAGGCTGCGGTGGACAAAGCCGCGACCGCCTAAGTCGTACTGCGTGGGACTTGGCTATGGCAGAAGCAAGGATAAGGGATGAGGGGGGGTTATTATGACTGGCTCATGGGATTCTCTTCGTGCCGGGCTCTGGACAAAGTGACCATAGTATCCATTCAGGGCGGACATGACAGCTTGTCGGGTATCAGCCGAGCCCAGACAGCGACTGTGTGGCGACGACACTGATGATGCCGATGCCGCTGAAGTGATGCCGAGGCTGCTGCAGTTAACGGTCCCGACGACGGCGATGAGCAATCACAATAGGTGGCAGTCATCAGCGCTTACAATCGTCGCCAACATCAGAACAATCATCGTCGTCATAGATATCACCATCACCTTCAACAACGCCGCTGCCAGCATGTTCACCACCACGTACTTCAGCATTGTCTTCGCCGCCGTCGCTTGCATCGGCAACCTCATCGACATCGTGTATTTAGCAGGCGTCTTTCAGTGATCGGAACTGTACTTGTTCGGTAAAGAAATTTGTAATACAAATGTTGACCGTAATCAGAAGGTTACACAAAATTCGCAAAAGCTGTCGTCGACTCCTCGGGCAACAGCAGCAGCCGCTGCAGTAGCGAGTATTTTCCGTGTTTTGTCTTCGACGAGAGTGTGACTTAAGTTGAATAGTATGGTACATCTGTTCATTTGTAAGACGCGCTTGTGGCAGTGGTAGTGGTAGTGGTAGTAGTTAACAGCAGCAGCAGCAGCAGCAGCAGCAGCAGCAGCAGCAGCAGCCTTTCTGTAAGTTCCCTGTGACAGCTGAAGAGGGATGTTGCACGGCTAGAACTGGGAGAAGAACCTGCCGAGGTCTCCTCGCTGTGTGGCTTCTGACGATGGGAGTTTGTGATGTTCAGATGTTCAACAAAGAAGGCTGCCTAAAGATATGCCCTACCCTGCCCGCCTTGCACGTGGCTTTAGATGACGAAAGCGCTATCTCGTCTCCCCTAGAAGCTAGAACATCAGCATTAAAGAATCAAGGCGCAGCCATGCGCAGCCCGTTCATCCACTTCTGGGTCGACTCTTGTGGCAGCCCTCGCGGCTGCTGCGATGCCTATCACTATCGTTTTTGCCTGGCTCTTTGGTTTCATTCACAGCCCTACACCTCCAGTACGTGTTGTGCATCGTGGAAGCTGAAGGACTCCATTGCTTCAGACAAAGATCTATTGCCCTGAACTTCAAAACCTGAACTACGGTTGCGGAAGCAGCCCCACGAAGACTGGAGGCCTAGGGCCAGTTTTGAAATCGGCTGCTCTCCTTCGTGGACCCACAGAGTGACGTTGGACCTTCAAAAAGGCTGTTTCTGGCGTGGGGGACTGGGGAGGGAAAGAAAGCGCTCCGACTGTGTTTGTTGGGTTCCTTGTCGAAAATGAACGAGGCGAGGCTCGAGGCCTTCGCTCCGAAGGGACTCGCTGCCGAGTGGGGGCTCCTTCAAAGTGCTAGCGATCCTGCATTCAGGACCTTGAGAACAAAGACGGTGCAGTCATTGCTGCAGCAGCACAAGGCCGTGGGACAGTCTTAGTTCCTCAGAGTTCCGACTGTCCAAGGGTAGAAGCGTTCTCTTGAGTCGTGAAGACAGCTGTGTGACAGGTGGGCAGCATTGGTGTCCTGGCTTTGGACTGCGAAGGTCAGCGGCTTCGGGTTGTTGTTGAAAAGAATATGGCTCTCAGGTGAGTTGTTTCCGGTGGTCTTCGCGCGACCCTGTGAGCCTCGGAGTCCTTGTCCTCCAACTCGGGCACCAGTGATCAAACCGGCATCACCAGCGTCGTTGTCAGCGGCATCATTCTCAACCTCCCATTCCTCGCCTTCAGCGGACGACAAGTCCCACCATAGGATAGCAACTTTCGTGCCATCATGGCGAGTACTCGCCAGCATCGCAACAGTTGTCTTGTCGAGATGACAATTGGCCTGCACAGTGATCGAGTCTTCCAGGAGGTCCCGGGAAACTAAGGCCCGTTTTGCAAGCCAGGACATTTCCAGTACTCTTCAGGAAGAAGTGCTGCTTTCCAGGTCGCCAAACTTGTAAGCTCACCCAGACCCAGTCTTTGTCGTGGCTGTCCGAATGGCCGTGTGGATTCAGCCCGCTGCCGCAAATACTCCAAAACTTTCGGCAGGCCTGCGAGACCCCTTTGTGGGGTTGTGAACTCCCGCAAGCAGCTACAACCAAAGTCACCTACTTTTCTCGCCCCCTGCCAGGTCACGACTGTTCCATTCTCAGGGGCCTCATCACGGCTTGTGGGTTTCGCCGAGAGTGGTGCCCCGCCCCCGCGACAAGGATCACGACCAGTAGGATCGTCACCAGATTCATCATACACCCCTGCGTCATCTACTTCTTCGTCATGCTCATCATTAGGGCACTTACTGTCAGCCAGCCAGCCTTACCTTTTTATGTTGGTGGCTATTGTCGTGTTCGTACACCAGGAATGTAAGCAGCATCCGCATTTATAGTTCCAGCTTGGCTGCTGCTAGGTGTATGCAGGGAGTTTCGGGCTCAGGCTTCAAAGCTGAGTCGTGTCTCATGTTGTTAGGTTCAGGGTTGCCAAGACTGCTATGAACTTATCCCGTCCGCTTTTGTCCCAAGCCGGTGCATGTCGCGTCGGTTGCTCTTTGTGGCTCAATGCAGAAACCTCCCTGTCCTAGCGGGTGTGCAGGCGGCTCTTAGGGTGTGAGGACGACGTGCGTCAACGCATCCATAATCTGCAAGAATACTTCCGTGGAGTGTTTGATGTTGATTGAAGATGCAGAGGTTATCACCTGTCCAGCATGTAATTTAGCCGGCGCGTGTTCTGTTCATATAGGGGGTTTCCTGACTGAGCCCAATGCTCGTTAGGTTTCTTAAGGTGCCTTCTGAATGCTTCCCAGCGATGGCGGAACCAAACTCCTAGCGCATCATGTAACTGTCCCAGTGCGTCTGCGGGAACTTGAGGTGTGTCGAGTGTTCGGTTGGACATGGGCTTATACTCTAGCCCGCCGTAGCATTTAGCTGCACTGCGTGTCGACAAGCTGATCTCTCAGAATCAGTGTCTCTATAGTGTGATCACCATGACACACTGGGAGGTGCAACTGCTACAAGTACGAGTTGGAAGCATAATTACTGACACGCGCGGTGTAGCGATACTGTATGCGTTAATTACTCTGGTGATGAGCATGATCAGTATCCTGGACCAATTTCATGATGAATATAGATGGTCTGGGCCTTAAAGAAACCTAATCCCCACCTTGGAACCCTAGAGTGCCTGAGCCCGAAGCAGTTTGCTCTGTCCATAGGCACTCGAGCATGGCAGCCGCCGTGGCGGACCCTGCAGAGTGCAGGCCACTGACTGTGTCGTTAATTGGTCTTTGTTTCCATCATGTAGCAGCAAGGCCAGGCAGTGCAGTGTTGTAGCCCATCTATAGTGATGGATGTAAGGTTCTCAGCTTTCTGGGCTTAGCGTTCAGCTTTGCTTTTTCTTATCAGGCTTGAAGGAGTAGAAAAGAACTAGATTGAATCCGCCAACGTCACCAAAGCCTAAAGGTCAGCCGCATGTACTTCCACATAGAGTGCCGAACTGCGCAGCCCAGGTTGCTTGGGCATAGCATGTGGGTGATAAGTCTAAGTAAGCCAAGTAAGCTATCCGACAAAGGCATGAGCCTCAGAATAATCTCAATGCCATCCTTTCCAAATTCACCACGTCCTCGACTTCGAATCTCACCAACACGCCCTCACAGTTCCAGACATTGTTCGGGGCTTCGGCTTCAGGCTGTGTGATTCTCATGGCGATCTTGACGACTGACCTTTTCAGGCGTGTGAGACACGTAACTAAAGCAAAACTGTGAAATGCCAGACATGAAAAACCCCTACAGCTTGTAAGCCGCAAACTCAAAAGCCCGAAGCTCTCAGCTTCCTTACCACGCACCCGTTATCCTAAACGCTTGGCCAGGGAATGGCAGGAGGTCCTTCGAATTTCCGAGGAGCTCCATGCCAGCGTCAGCCGAATTCTCAGAGAGGAAAAAGAGATTGGGGTCTCAAGCGGAGGCGTTCACGACCTTACGAATTTGCGGAGTGCGAATCCTTGCGAGGCTTTTAACACCACGTGGAGCTGCGAGTCTAACGGAGTTTGGGAACATGGCCATTCTACATACTGCCTGGGGCTTGCCTGATGCGAACATCAGAGCCCTCAAGTGATTGCCCTCAACCATCACAACGGCAATGTTAAGCATCAAGATTCAAGATCGTCACGATCACTTTCTGACTGTCGTCCACGCTGTCATCACAACATTAGCAGTAGCCGCATCGGCATCGTGCTCGTAATTGTCTTTCTCTGCTTAGTCGTCGCTATTGTATAGGATCAGAACGTTGGCGTCTCATCCCTCTGACCGCCGCCCAATGCCAGGTAAGCTCCAAGCCAAGCTGGCCTCAGAGAGGCCCTGCACCCGGACGACCTGCACATACCCGCTTGCAAGACAGCTTCGAGTTCAGATTTTAGGCCAGCCCCTGCGACTGAATCGCACAGTTTGTGCTGCCACAAGTAAGTTTACAGGGATGGCGGATACACAGACAGGCAAAAACCCTACCACAAGAAGATCTTCGAGTGCTGTTCAGGGCCGTCCTCGCGGCGGACCGCGCTGCAGCTGCGGCCGACCGGCGTGCCGCTGCGGCCGACCGTGCCATAGCCGAAAGGGCTGCGCTTCGCGTATACTAAGAAACAGAGCCCTCGGGATCGGCATGATCTAAACTCTAAACATGACAGCCGAATTCCATCCTCCTAGCACGGCGCTCTCGGTCCAATTTCAACAGATCTTGGCCCAGCATTTGTTGCGACACTAATGCACCTGAACTTGCTCTGGACTTCAGCAGGAGCAGGGTGAGAGAACCGTTCTATGAAGTGAGAGAACCATTCTATGAACTGGGTCTGCGCAATTCAAGGGGCAAATGTGCTCGAAAGAGCTTGGTAAGCGTTTGGCCGCACAAGGAACGGAGGAAGCGGAGGGGATTTGTTGTTGCGGTTGCGATT